AGTAGGTTGATTTTATTTTACATGCTTTTGAGTTAATGTTGGACTTTTAAAAAAAAACAAACACAAAACAAAAGCGATAAAATAAAAGCGATTTTCATTTGGGAGGCAGAGAGTGAATTACCAACAGAGAATTGGGCCTTGGGCCTACATCATTTCTCTTGTAGTTGGGGGCAGTGCAGGGATCCTGTGTGGGTGTGGAACCAAGGCACTACCGCCACTCCCCACAGTAAAGCAACTGCACTTCACTCAGTGCTTCTTGAGCCCTCCCTTCTTCCCCCTACCCAACCTGGGCAGGAGGATGAAGGGCCAGTTGCTGGGTGTTTATATAGAGAGTAGGTTGATTTTATTTTACATGCTTTTGAGTTAATGTTGGAAAACTAATCACAAGCAGTTTCTAAACCAAAAATGACATGTTGTAAAAGGATAATAAACGTTGGATCAAAATGGAGCCTGAGTCCTGGCCCCTGTGCCTGTTTCTTTTTCTGGGAAGGGCCTTGGGCTACCCCTCACTGCCAAGGCATCTTCCAGTGTAAAATCCTATAAAATTCTGCTCTCTTCCCCTCCTGATTAACATTGGTATGATACTGCTGCCTAGCCCCAATGTCTTCAGTATCACTGGATAGGACCATGGTAGATGGAGGATAGTCTGATGGAGTTCCAGATATGGACAAGGTGGCATCCTTTGCCTACATTTGAGGTGGATGGTAAGGCTAGGTCTGCAGAGAGTCCCCTTTCCTGACCAAAGACTGAATTGGGGTTCCCTCCAAAAACCTTAGGGTTGCAAAAAGATAGAATCTCTGTCTCAAAGTGGATGTTCTTTTGGTGCATCAAAAAATCCCAAACATTCATGCTCTGGTTGAGGATCACTTACAGTTGTGTCCACCTTTATTTTATGTAACTTGTATTATTAAAAAAATAGTGTTTTCTAAGACAAAATTCTAGTATTGGATGTGTTTTTTCCTAAATTAAACATCCTCCCCTGCTCTGTTTTTTCAGATGATTGCTTAAATAGTTTTATCCAGGTATAGAGTGTACTCTTCTTCAGCAGCCACCATCATAAATCATTTAGTGCTTCTGGGGTCAGTAGCCTTACCCAAAAAAGATTATGGTGCAGAGAAAATTATTCACAGTCAAATTTGTGTTGCTTGTCTTAGTACTTACACCAGGCTCTCATCTGGTCTAAACAGATAGAAAATCTTCACCAACATAAGAACATTCTGTCTTATCCCTAGGCTGACAGTCTATCCTTTGGGCTAAAAATAGGGAAAGGTATTTAGTACCTCTGCATTAAGCTATGGGAGCATAACAGAAGGCAAGTGATATTTCCCCATAAATATGTAGAGATAAGTAATAGAAATTTGTGTTGGAATGATTGCTTTGTTTTCACTTGTCACACAGTGTGTCTATATGGAATATAGTTGGAACTCCATAGATTCTTTTTTTGAAATATATTTTTATTGACTTCAGAGAGGAAGGGAGAGAGAGAAACATCAATGATGAGAGCTAATCATTGATTAGCTGCCTCCTACATGCCCCATACTGAGGGCTCGACCTGGATATGTTTCCTGACCAGAATTGAATTGTGATCTAGTTCATTAGCTGATGCTCAACCACTGAGCCATGCCAGCCAGGCTCTGTAGATTCTTAGGAAAAATCAAGATCAGACTTGTAGTGAGAGGCCTAGTTCTAGTGCTGGCACTTGAGCTTATAGCAGTGTAGCTTTCTGATACAGTGATTGACAGTGCTTTGTAAACTGTAGGAAGCAGTGAGGGACTATTTGTCACCTTTCATCTGCAGAAGCCTACATACTTAAATCAAGAAGCAAGTTGTATCAGCAGTCTGTCTTTTTCCCTACAGTGTTCCCAGAAAGAAATTGAAATGTAGTCTTAACTAATCACTTCTTCCCATAGGGTAAGTGCTATGATTAAAAGATGGGTTTTTGCGGAAACCGGTTTGGCTCAGTGGATAGAGCGTCGGCCTGCGGACTGAAAGGTCCCAGGTTCGATTCTGGTCAAGGGCATGTACCTTGGTTGCAGGCACATCCCCAGTGGGAGATGTGCAGGAGGCAGCTGATCGATGTTTCTCTCTCATCGATGTTTCTAACTCTCTATCTCTCTCCCTTCCTCTCTGTAAAAAATCAATAAAATATATTTTTAAAAAAAAGATGGGTTTTTGACTAAGAATATGGCATCAAATACATCACACAGGATCAACAGTATGCCACAGATGGGACTATAAGTCTAACATCTTGAGATACATTTGGATCTAAGATATTGCTCCTACAAATTTCTGTGAGAGTCTAGTGATTATACAATGCCCATGAGGAACACTGACCTGCCGGTCATTAATTTGGTCTAAATGTTTTGTTACTCTTGCCCGGTCCTACAACCTACTGAGTCCTTAAAAAGACAAGAATGTAGGACTTGGATTTTTCATAAAGCTATCTAGAGATGCATAGAGTCATTAAATATTTCTGTGTCAAGTAGAAATTCAGAATTGCATTGTCTTTGACTCAAGTGGTGGTGGGGGCAATAGGTGGGGAGATAGAAAGGACTTTCAGTTCCACTCTTAGCCAGCAGGTGGTGAGTTTTGGACTCAGGCCCTCAGGTTTGGGTTATAAATAAAGCTTTGGAATAGAATAGTGACATTAGTGAGAGGAGACAGAGGAATAATATGTACCTTCTGACTGGCTGTTTTTCTGAACCAGATATAGAGTAGAGGGAATATTGTAGAATGGGAAGAATACTGGATTGGGAATGTGGACTTGACCATAGACTCTCTCTTTGAACGGCTTATTGCCATACTATCAGGAAGCAAGTGCTATTGACAAGGTACACATTGTTATGTGGCTGCAAGGAGGGGTAAACCAAACCAAGATAGGAAAGATAGTCTGAACTGGGCATTGAAGGAAGGTGGGAGACTTGACATGGAGAAGTGCAGGAGAGCAATTAGTAAAAGCACAGAGGGTAGAGAATACAGAAGAAACATAGGTTGGCTAGCAAGGGAGTGCTGGAGTGAATTTGAAGGGGTCAGAAGTCACATGAAGACCCTCATATGCCAGAAATGAACTTTAGTCCAAAGATATCTGGGGGGTTTAGACAGGGAAGTGAGTCAGATTTCAGTGTTATGAGGATTAATTTTTGTGTGTGTGTCAAAAAGCCAAAATTTACCTTACAATTACCAAGTGTACAGCATAGGCAATTCACTTTCAAGATAACCTTTTATTTTTATAGAAGCAATAATGTGCATTGTAAAAATTTAGAAAAAATATAAGCATATTTTTTAAATGAATATTCCCAATAATCAGAGACCACCATCTTTAGTTGCTGTTTTTCAGTCTTTTTCTGTGCATGTGTGTAAATGTGTATGTCTATACATGTGGTGTTTTAAAATCAAAATAAGATCATCCTGCTTTATATCTTTTTTTAACATTAATCTCCACCTTTTCCTTTTATAAGTTTTTTTTTTTTTTTAATGTTACTGATTTTAGAGATGGGGAGAGAGAGATAGAAACATCAATGATGAGAGAGAATCATTAATTGGCTGCCTCCTGCACACCTCCTACTAGGGGTCGAGACTACAACCCGAGCATGTGCCCTGACCGGGAATCAAACCACTCTATGGTTATGGAATGGATTTAAGACATTGTATTCATATTTATTTATATTTATTGATTTCAGAGAGGGAGAGATAGAAACATCAATGATGAGAGAATTATTGATTGGCTGCCTCCTGCACATCCCACACTGGGCATCAAGCCTGCAACCTGAGCATGTGCCCTGACCTGGAATCAAACCGTGACCACCTGATTTGATTAATAGGTCGACTCAACCACTGAACCACACCGGCCAGGCAAGGAATTCTATATATTTTTAATTGTACTGGTAAAATTGGACATCTATTTTGTGGGAGAAAGGTGGGGGAGTTAAATTTTTGCCTACCATACTCAAAAATTAGGTTAACCTAACATCCTATGTAATAAAAGCCTAATATGCAAATTGTTTGACCTCTCTCTATGACATGTGCTGACCACCAGTGGGCGGTGTGGAACATGGTGGGTGTTGGCAACGCGGTGCCAGCAGCGGGCTGCAGTGGAGGTGCTGCTGGCTCCAATGGGCCCCGATAAAAGCAGGACTGCAGCGGGATGGTGGAGCAGGTGAGCGGTGGTGCCAGGCCAACACAAGTGCGAGTGGGGGCCTGATTGCCCCACAGACAGCGACCAGTGGCAGGCCCGGCCCCGATAGAGTGCCCTGCAGGTGGGATGGTGGAGCAGGTGAGGGAGTGGCGCCAGGCCATGGCAGGGTGCCAGAAGGGGCTGCGAGCTTGGGGGTACGAGCTGGGGTCTGATCCCCGTAGGCCACCCTGAGGGACCCCACCTGTGCATGAATTGGTGCACCGGGCCTCTAATCCTATGTAATAAAAGGCTAATATGCAAATTGTCCCCGTGGGAGTTTGCTCATTATGATGTGTGGTGACCACCAGGGGGCGGTGTGGAATGAAGGAAGTCCGCAGCTGGAGGAAGGAAGGCCCGGATCTGCCCTGATTGCCGGCCAGGACTAGGGACCCTACCCGTGCACGAATTTCATGCACTGGGCCTCTAGTCTATACTAATAAAAGAGTAATATGCAAATGGTTGGAACACCCTCATATGTAACAACTGATCAGCTGGAGGCTGCTTGTGCAGCAGGCACGGGTGGGTGGGGACTTGCAGCGACAGGGGAGGGGATGGGGCCATGGCAGAGGCCTCTGTGCGCCTGAGCCAGGGGTCTGCAGGCCTCCCCTGGCTCTGGCCTACCTCTTTGGGGAAATCCATTGAGGAGCCCTGGATGGGTGGGTGGGGCCTACCTCTTTGGGGTGATGGATCGTGGGGCTCCTGCACTGTGACAGAGCACAGGCCAGGTTGGGGGACCTTCCCCGCCCCCACCCAAGTGCACGAATTTTGTGCACCAGGCCACTTATATACAAGTACCAGAAAAAAACATTTTAGAGGCCACTGAAGGGAAATGTTGGTAAATTGTATTATATAAAAATTTTGAACTTTGGTAGAGTAAAAATCACCTTAAACAAAATTAGAAAATAAGTCACAGATTGGGAGAAAATAACTGTGCTATACATAATAGGTTGTGGTAGGCAGGATAATGGCTCTCCCAAGATGTCCGATGTCGTAATCCCTGCAACCTGTGAATATGCTGTTTTTCATGGAAAAGGGAATTAAGGCTGTAAATGGAATTAAGGTTGTTAACCAACTGACTTTAAGATGGGAATAGTATCTTGGATTATCCAGGTGGGACCAAGTATTTATCGTGTCCTTACAAGTGGAAGAGGGAAGCAATAGAGAGCAGATTGATATGATATGAGAACTAGCCTTTGTTAGCTTTGAATATGGAGAAAGAGGCCCAGTAGCTAAGGCTCCTCTAGAACCCAGAAAAGACAAGGAATGAATCCTGCCCTGTGCCTACAGAAAAGAATGCAACCCTGTCAACCCCTTGATTTTATTTTTCTGACAAAGTAAATCTGTGTTGTTTTGTGGTAATTTGTTATGGCAGCAGCCGAAAACGAATACAATATCCAACAAATAGTGCAGCAGTGGAAAAATGGGTAAAGGATATGAACAGGCAATTCTAGAAGAAATCCAAATGGCCATTAAACATGAGAGGACTTGTTTTTGTAACCTTGGGAATGAATGGTTGTTGAGTTGACCCAGGGAGAATAGGAGTAGAGGGCTGAGAAGAGATGGAAAGATATGTGGAGAACTGTGGGTCGAGCGGGTGAAGAAGGGGACCATACCCAGGCATACCCTGGGTCTGCCTAGAGTCTAGACCAAGACCAGTTGTGCTCATGTGAAGAGATGTATTTTTCTTCTGTTCACTTGCTATGAAGTTCTTCTCAAGGGCAGCACTGGACTGTGCTCCCTGGCCTTTAAGCTTCACCCCATAGAGCAGGGATGTGTGGATCCCAGATTGATCATCTATCTGTGAAGGGCTTGAGAAGAAAGTTAAGCTTGCAGAATCCTGAACTCTCTATTTTAGGGACCTGATTCTGAGGGAATATAGTTGCTGGAGAAGTTAATAGGGAACTGACATTCCCAGTACCCCAGACTCCAAAGAAATCATGAGTTGGATTTGTTTAATTTACCTAGTTTATTAGGATTTCCTCTGCTTGTCTCCCCAGCCCTCAGGTGCCAGTACTATCAGCTTTTTTCTCATGCTGACTGGATTTGGTGGGCATGGGTCCATGGGTACCCGGAAGCTTGGCAAATATCCTTTGGAGACCCCTGATAAGGGGAGGCTGAGGTGTGGGGGAAGAGAGATGTTTCTCCATTTGGGCCCAGGGGCAGCAGTGCTTACAGTGCCGAGGGATCAGGATATCACCAGCTCTCAGCTCTGCTCCTCGCTTATCTTGGGGACCTGCAGCCTTAGAGTGAAGCTGCTGGGGGAGAGCAGTGTTGAGAGACCGCTGGTTCCTGTGCCGAGATCTTTGGAAAAGTCGGCTTACAGGGACCTCCACTAGTCTGCCCTGGGCTGGATGGCTCTTTCCTATAACTGTGGATGGCCCCAATCTTGCATCCCCTCCTCTGTGGTCTCCTGATTTGGGTTTCCTGGGGTTCTCTCTCTCTTTGGCTGATGCTAAGACTGAAGCCTTGTTCTGTCTGTTGACCGAGACTGGAACCTCAGAGTTGGAGGACTCTCTCAAGCCTGGGCAGTTCTCATCAGCCTCCATGTGAACAGATTGTCCCTGAGGTGAGACCTGGGTCACCCGGGCCACCATCTTTGCCTTCATTCTTTCCTCTCTCTGAAACCTTTGTTCTGCCCTACCAGACCCTTGTGGCTGAGGATGGGAAGAGGAGTGGGAGTCATAACAGTGGGAGACCTGGACAGGCTGAGTCACTGTGCTCTCAACTTGTGCGGGTTGACAGCTTGAAGACTGGGAGCACAGACTGGGGGGATAAGTCTGCTGTGAAGAACAGGAAGAGAGTCCCCAAGTGCCGGGAGTTGTGGAGCTCAGGGCAGGGGAACTGCCAAATGATTGACTTGGACCAGGAGATCTGGGAGCAGGGCTCAGCTGTAGTTTCTTCAGCCTGAGTTCTAATTCTCTACTCCAGTGCCAAGCCTGGATCCCAGAATGGGTGGATATCTCTAGGACAGCCTCTCTCGGGGAGTGTGGAACCTGTGCCTTAGCTCCTGGGAACAGCTCTTCCTTGGGTAGACCAGGCTGGTTGGGCTCAGTCTTCAGAGTTTCAGCTAGGGTGGGAGGCCAGTTTATTGGCTGCAGGGGATCCACTATTGGAGGACTGGGGCCTTGGGGGCTCTCTCTTTGTTGCACATTCCCCCAGACAAACTCAGGGTCAATGTGTGGACCTGTTAGAGGAGCAGAAAGTGTGTTGGGAGATAAGGCTGGTTGCTCAGTGGCCCAGCTGTTCTCTTTCTGTTCCAATGCTTCCCCCTCAGGCTTATAGTTGCCTTGGTCTCTCATAGGCTCACTTAAGTGAGACTTTGACATAGAGTTTGGATGTGGGCTAGGGTCCCAGAATGGGGACACAGGAGCACAACAGATATTTTTCTGCTTCATGTCCCCCCATGAAGGGGCTGTAGACTCAGAGGTCCAGAGATTCTCTATCTGCCTCATAGTCTCCCCCAAAGCCTTGGACTTAGATAGGACTCCCTGGGGGCCCATTCCTAGAGACTCCAGCAGACAGGCTGAAGGAAGGCTGGGAGATGAAACTGAGTCTTCAGAGACCCAAAGATGTTCTCTCTTTTGCATGCCTTCCCATAGAGTCTCAGATCCTGATGGGATACATGCAGGGCTGGTTCCATAGAATCCTGGGTTGAGGTCCAAGGCTGGGGGCTCAAAAGCTTGTGGATTTCCTCTGCATCCCCAGTGAGGCTTGTATCCAGATAAATCTCCCAGGGGACTGCCTCTCTGGAGTTCTTGCTGGAGGTCTGAGGGAGGACAGGGGACTGGCATTAGATACCCAGAGGCCGGAGGCTTCTGTGTGTATTCTGTGGTTCCCCAGAAGTCCTTAGATGTAGGTGGTCCTTCAGAGCTGACTTTCTGGGGTTCTGACAGAGAATCAGATTGGTAAGATGCTGGCATTGGGAGCTTAGAGGCTTGAGAACTCTGTTTATGTCCTGTGGTTCTCCACTGAGACTCACATCCAGGGGGTACTTCCAGGTGTCTAGTTCCTTGAGGCTCTGTTATGGGGGCTACAGATTGGAAAGGGACCAGGATTGGAGGCTCAGAAATCTGAGGATTCTCATTTTGTCTTCTGTTTTCCCAGTGGTCCTCAGCTCCAGACAGGTCTCCTTTAGGGCTGACTCCCTGGAGTTCTGGCAGAGAGGCTGGGGTTGGGCTGGGAACTAGCATTGCTGTCTCAGAGGCTTTGGGGTCCTCCTTTTGCACCATGGTCCTCCATGGGGCCTCAAACCTAGTCGGGACTCCCAGAAAGTTAGAGGGAGACAGCAGAGAGGCAGAGAGTGGATCTGGGGTGTGTTGTGGGAAGCCAGGATCCCATGGCCTCCCCCGCCAGACCTCAGATGAGGGGGGAAAATTTGAGGGTCTGGTTCTTTGTAGTTCAGGCTGCGGGTGCAGGGCTTGATCCTCAGAGACCTGAGGGGCCGCTCTCTGCCACAGAAGCCACTCTGTATGTGCCTGAGCACCAGAATGGACTCCTTTGTCGTCTATGGGAAAGCACTTAAGATGGAGGGGTGGTGATGGGACAGAAGGGTAAAGTGGAGAGGGACGTTGCTGAGGATTAGGGGTCATCTCTTCCAGATCTTTTGTGGTATGGACTTTAGGGGTAGGAAGCTGGGTTGGGGAGCAATACTGGGGAAACAGCAGGTTGGACCTATGCAGGAAGGAAAACTCGTTGAAGCAGACAGAAGGACCAACAGGTAACTTCAGGGGAGAGGGGTCACCTGAACTCAGGATGATGGCCTCCAAGGACTCACTGTGCAGAGAAGGGAGTCCCCAGAAGAGCTGGATTTTTCTCTGCTGTAGATCACTCCCTGATGTCTTATGCCTCACAGGCAGGTTGGTCAGGATCTGAAAGGTGGGGAATGATCTAGGAGGGCTTGGGGTCTGTCTGAGTACTAGCTCTGTTGTTTCTATGGCCTTGTGGAGGCTCTCAGGATCACAGGATGGTTGGGATGGAGCTGTGGTGGCTTGCTGTCCAATAGGAGCTTCTTTGGAAAGAAAATTTGGCTTCAATGGACCCAGAGATACTGCCTGTTCTTTCTCCTCTTCCTCCTCCTCTTCTTCCTCTTCTTCCTCCTCCGACTTCTGCCTCCACAAATGACCAAAGAAAGCCACATGGTATAGAAGTGATAGGCCCTGGGAAATGGAGAAAAATACTATCAACCTTTTCAGAGTCAAAAGGTATATCATGAAGCTCTCAGTCTCTGTTCCATATCCAGAATGAACAGTTACTCAACTGGCCCCACATCTGTGGTCAACAGTCATTTACTCATCCAGTGTTAATGGCCATTACCCAGCGCACCCGTGGAGATCAGCATTTCTTACATAATCCTACATCTAGGGTAAGTCATTTCTTACATAATCCTACATCTAGGGTAAGTCATCACTGATCTGGCTTCAAATCTAGTGTCAGTGGTCAGTCACGCTGCCTCACATTTAAGGCTTATAGTCACTTATTTGGGCTCACATCCATGTCAATGATTCCTCACCAAAATTCAGATGTGGCGTCAATAGTTATTTAGACCTCTACACATCTATGTCACCCACCTTGCCTTGCATGATGTCTCCAGAGTACCAGGGCTGAAGATGTCGCCAGTTCCCAAGTTGCCACCACTTCCGGATCTGCCAAACCATGAACAGGAATAGTATCACTATATTCCCTGTACTCTGGAGGCAACTGCTGCCACAGTGTCTGCAGGCGAGGGAATGGGTTAGCTGGCCCCAAAGAAGCCCCTTGTCCCCCTCAACCCCAAGCAAGCCCTCTAGCAGCCAGTCCATTTTTCTCAGTCTAGTGGCAGTTTATCTTGATGTCATCACTGTGTCACAGAACAAAGAACTCCCAACCCCCACATGCATAACAGCCTTCTCTCTGAACTTAAGGTAAAAAAAATGTGTCCACGAAACAACTCATTCTTCACACTGAAACCTGGGTGATCCTCTTTTGTCTTTTTTTTTTTTTAAATATATTTTATTGATTTTTTACAGAGAGGAAGGGAGAGGGATAGAGAGCTAGAAACATCGATGAGAGAGAAACATCGATCAGCTGCCTCCTGCACACCCCCCACTGGGGATGTGCCTGCAACCAAGGTCCATGCCCTTGACCGGAATCGAACCCGGGACCCCTGAGTCCGAAGGCTGACGCTCCATCCACTGAGCCAAACCGGTTAGGGCAATCCTCTTTTGTCTTGATTGCCATGGTCAGAATTATGCTTCCAGCATTGTGGTTCAGGACATGAATTCCAGCATTAAAAATGCCTCATTCAAATCCTAGCTCTGGCCCTGGCTAGTTTGCTCAGTGGTTAGAATGTCGGATTGAAGGGTCCCGGGTTTGATTCCAGTCAAGGGTACATGCCTGGGTTGTGGGCTCAATCCCCAGTAGGGGGCGTGCAGGAGGTGGCCAATCAATGATTCTCATCATTGATGTTTCTATCTCTCTCTTCCTCTGAAATCAATAAAAATATTTTTTAGAAAATTCTAGCTCTGTCACTTCCTACCCATGAAATCTCAGTCAAACTTAATCTTTCAGTGCCTCAGTTTTTTCACCTGTAAAACGGGAATAATAATATTACCACATAGGGTTGTTTTGAGAATTAAATGTACACATTTATATGCTTAGGATTGTACAAAGTGTACATGCTATATTAAAATTTTATTTCTTTTAAGGTTTCCCATTACAAGCCTCATTCCATCTTTAATAAATGGAGTCTGCTCCCTCTTTTTTTTTTTTTTTAATCTCTTGTCAACTGTGAACTGTCTTATTTGACTTTAGGTTGCCTGCGATATTGTTGGCAAGCATTCATGTTAAGGATGACAAATAAATAAAATGGGGTTTTGAGCTTGACCATTTTTCTTCATTTGCCCCTCTTTACCCTAAAACAACCACTCTGTTCCATGTCAACTCTTCTTTTCAGAGCCCTCAGTCTCTGCCTTCAGAGTACAAGTTAATGCCTCTTTTTCTCACATCACCTGCCTCAAAGGCCAGCTTAGTCTGGTAGAAAGAGTACTGAACTAAGATTGAGGATAACCTGGGTTTTCTAGTTCTTAGTTTTCTTCATTGCTACCCTAAGTTGGATTAGATTAATTAATTCAAGATATATTTATTGAGTGCCTAGTTTGAATCAGGTATTGTGTTTAGTCTCGAGTAGATAGAAGTAAGACAGAGTCTCTAAAGCAAGGGTCCTCAAACTTTTTAAACAGAGGGCCAGTTCACTGTCCCTCAGACCGTTGGAGGGCCGGACTATAGTTTAAAAAAAAAACTATGAACAAATTCCTATGCACACAGTGGCGGCAAAAACACCCAGCGGGCCGGATAAATGTTTTTGGCGGGCCGCATGTGGCCCGCAGGCCGTAGTTTGAGGACCCCTGCTCTAAAGTAAGTCCTATTTCTGTGGGAAAAATCAGTCAAGTTATATATATAAAACCCTAATATGCAAATAGACCGAGCGGCCGAACAACCAGTTGCTATGACATGTGCTGACCACAAGGGGGTGCGTGTGAAACATGGCAGGCGTCTGCGGCTGCAAGTGGTGGCGGAGGGAGTAGGGCTGCCAGCAGACAGGGAACTGGGGGCTGCAGTGGGAGGGGCCGGGCGGGGGCGTGGAGGATGGGCCAAGACCCGCCCCTGTGCCCACCGCAGCCTCGCAGCCCACAGTTCCTTTCAAGGTGCACGAATTCATGCACTGGGCCCCTAGTAGACAATAAAATAAAGATATGTACAATGGAAGCAGAAAAGGTTATCTAACCAGCCTGGAGAAAGGGGTTGCAAAAGGGGGTATGTCCCAGAAGAGGATTAATGCTTGGTCTGAGGAACCAAGAAAATGAGAGTGTAGGGAACAAGGGAAGGATAGTCCAAGCCGTAGGAAGAGCCTGTGTAAAGGTGCTAGGGTAGAGGAAAATGTCCCATTAGGGAATTGAAGGTACTTCAATGCGGTGGCGGTTGAGGAAGCAGTAGGAGATAGACATGGAAAGACAAGATCACAAAGGGCCCTGAATACCAGTCTAAGGAGTTGAAATTTATCCTGAAGGTAATGGTAAATCATTGAAAAGTTTTGAGCAGGGAAGTGACAACATCAAGCTTGTGTCTTGCAAAGAATGCTTTGGCTATAGTGAGGGCAAAAAGATTAGAGATTGAAGGCAAGAGATTAGTTAAGGAGCTCTTGCTTTAATTTAGGCAAAATAAAAGTTGAGGCCTGAGCCAAGGCAGTGATGGTGGGAATGAAGAATAATGGGTTCAAGTAGAATTCCACAGATAAAACATTATACTTTGTTACCAGTGGGATGGGGTGGAGGGAGAGGGAGTTGAGAATAACTCCAGGGTTTCTGAGAGGAAACTGGGTATATATTAGTGCCATTGTATTGAGATAGGGAACACAGACCTGGAAACCAATTTAGCATGTGTTTGGGGTTGATGGGTTCCATTTTAGACATTGGAATTTGAGATACCTGTGACAAGGAAAAGCTAGGCAAGAGGCAATTGGATACTTGGATCTGAAGCTTGGGAGAACAGTCTATGGAGAAGATGTAAATTTGTCAGCTGACAGCATATATGTAGCATAAAGATGACCAACTGAAATATAACATTTGTCTTAAAGATGACCAACTGAAATGTAACATTTGGCCCAGACAATGTAGCTAGTAGTGTTTTTATTAAGAACTTGAATGAATAAGTAGCCAGTACTGTAAACGTAACAGATTGCACATAATAATATTTCAAGTTTAAAATCTGGCAATACTGACTCTCATTTCCACCAAGTACAGACCATTAGAGTTAAGTAGCAGTTGCTCCCTCCCTTTGAAGTGGACAGGTGCTCTCCAATTCAGCATGGTTCTCATCATAGTTTCATTGTTAATGCCCAGGCTAAGGGTTAGTTGCTGTTTATCATTTTGTTTTCTTATGTTTGTTCATTTTTTTACTCATTTGTATTACCTGCCCGGCATTTGCATCTGCTACCTCTGGATGAAGAAGATTGAGTGCTTAGAGAAGGCAATACTGGATCTTATTCTGTGCTAGTTAATTTACACTATGGCAGGATAATTTACCAGTTATTGATTGCTTTCTCCTATGTCTTGCCAGTGGGATGAAAAGGTAACTGTTGCCCTAGCTGGTTTGGCTCTGTGGATCGAGCATCAACCTGTGGACTGAAGGGTCCCGGTTCGATTCTTGTCAAGGGCACATGCCTGGGTTGTGGGTTTGATCCCCATTAGGGGGCATGAAGGAAGCAGCCAATCAATGATTCTCTCTCATCATTGCTGTTTCAATCTCTCCTCCCTTCCTCTCTGAAATCATTAAAATATATATATATAACTGTTTTCTTCTATTACAGGAATTCTAAGTTTCTTATCTCATAGAATTGTTAATGGATTATTTATTTTTTAGTCCCAAACTAAAGTTGCAAGACACCTTGTCTACAATCTTATTCAGGCTCTTGTGTGGGAGGGGAATTTAATTTAGTTGGGCATTCTTGAAAAGGAGAAGATGGAGGATGCTGGGTTGAAAGAAGAGGAGTTGCCCAAATATAGCAGTGGGCCCAGGGACTTGGGGAAAAAGATGTAGTGATGGGTAGTGATGGGTTCACTAGGAGGCATCAGGACTTGTAATGGGGAGAGCTGATTTAATAGTTAGGGTACTAAACATCTAACACATAACCTTAGGAACTGCAACAAAAGATGCTGGTATGCAAACTTGACAGAGATGCTGTGGAGCCACCTGCCTTTGAATGGACCATAAGTGTTTAGACCAGTGGTTCTCAATCTTCTGGCCCTTTAAATACAGTTCCTCATGTTGTGACCCAACCATAAAATTATTTTCGTTGCTACTTCATAACTGTAATGTTGCTACTGTTATGAATTGTAATATAAATATCTGATATGCAGGATGGTCTTAGGCGACCCCTGTGAAAGGGTCGTTCGACCGCCAAAGGGGTCGCGATCCACAGGTTGAGAACCGCTGGTTTAGACAATGCACATCCCGGGGGCAACCATGTCAGGCTCAAGCTGAGCTTTCCTAAGTGATTTTCTTTTCCTTTATTTTTTGTCAGTTTATACCACACTAAAGAGGGGAAAGGACCCAATTATGATTAATACTAGAGGCCCGGTGCATGAAATTTGTGCACTCGGGCTGGGGGGTCCCTCAGCCCAGCCTGCACCCTCTTACAGTCCAGGAGCCCTCGGGGGATGTCCAACTGATGGCTTAGGCCTGCTCCCTGGGAGCAGGCCTAAGCTGGCAGTCGGACATCCTTAGCACTGCCATGGAGGCAGGAAAGGCTCCTGCCACCACAGCTGCGTTTGCCAGCTGTGAGCCTGGCTTCTGGCTGAGCAGCGCTCCCCCAGTGGGAGCACATTGACCACCAGGAGGCAGCTCCTGCATTGAGCGTCTGCCCCCTGGTGATCAATGCGCATCATAGCAACTGGTCATTCCGCCATCGGATGGAAACCGGCTCTCCGACATCCCCCGAGGGGTCCCGGATTGTGAGAGGGTGCAGGCCAGGCCAAGGGACCCCACCGGTGCATGATCGGGGCTGGGGAGGAACACAGGAGGTTGGCCAGCCAGGAAGGGACCATGGGAGGGCTCCAGGGCATGTCCAGCCCATCTCACTCAGTCCCAATCAGCCGGACCCCAGCAGCAAGCTAACCTATGGGTTGGAGCGCCTGCCCCCTGGTGGTCAGTGCACATCAGAGAGAGCAGTTGAGCAGCCTTAGCATATCATTAGCATATTATACTTTGATTGGTTGAACAGCTGACCGGACAATTAACATATTAGGCTTTTATTGTATAGGATTGGATGTCTTTGAACTCTAGTAAATGGGAGTTTTGAGCCAAATTTAATTTTAGAAAAATTAAGTAATTTGATGTTTCTTACTTCTCAGTGTTATGGAACAAATTTATACACTTATCATCCCATTTAATCTCCACAATTCCTTGAAGTGAGTGTTGTTCTCCCCTTTCATGTAAGGGAAATTGAGTTTGGAAGGCAGAGCTAAGGATTGAGAAACCACCTTGTACTGTGAGGAATCACTTGGGGTTTTTTGGTGTGTTTTTTTTTGTGTGTGTGTTTTTAATATATATATATATATATTTATTATTGATTTCAGTGAGGAAGGGAGAAAGATTGAAACATCAATGATGAGAGAGAATCATTGATCAGTTGCCTCCTGCGCATCCCCTACTGGGAATCCAGCCCACAACTCAGGCATGTGCCTTTGACCGGAATTGAACCCAGGACGCTTCAGTCCGCAGGTCGACACTCCATCCACTGAGCCAAACCGACTAGGGCTGTGAGGAATTATTTGGATATAAATGACAGAAAGTAAAATCCAACAGGTGTAAACAAAATAGGAATGTATGACATAACTGAAAAGTCCAGGGTAAGGCTGGCTTCAGGTAGTAGGATTGATGCAGGGACTCAATTCAATGTCAGCAGGACTCACTTTCCACTTCTTGGCTCTCTGTCTTCTATGCTGACTTCTCTCAGGTTTTGTGTGGTAGCAGTACAATTGATGCTAAAAATGTGATGTCACTCTGACAACACGTGACTTATGGGTTTCAATTGGTATGTGTCCATCCTTGAACTACTCATTACACTGCTCACAGGGGAATAGACTGCTTCTTCTGACAGGTCTGAGCCACACATATACCCTTGGAATAAGGGTGTGGAGGGAAGACCACTCCACCTGCACATGGACTGAGACTGAAGGAGTGGGAGTGTGGTAGTTCCTTCCGAGGACATAGACATACTGTTTCCAGAAAGGTGTGTGTATGCTGGTATAAAACAAAGAAGACAAAACAGATATCCACTACAGCCCTCCCTAACTTCCCCATTTTGGTTTCTGGCCCAGAGCTATATCATTATTCTTTTATGATTTAAGGCATAACTTGAAGTATGAATACAGGTCCTCTGAAGGTTGGGGAAGAGTCTGGATGGGGCCCAGAGCAGGGATCTTGAAGAGGGGATCTATGGGAGACCCAAACATCTGTGTGGATAGACCATTCAATGGCCTAAACTCTCAATTCCTAGACCTTTTCATCTCAGAGTCCTTTACTTCTGCTCCAATCCAGCTGTGGTCATATCTGAAGCCTCATCATCAGGAACTGCTTTGCCTTCCAGTCTGACATTCCATCCTCTGACTTCAACCTTCAGATTTGTCCTAAAGATGACAATTCTTCAACCTTGTCAGGACATCCATTCCACTGATCCTTCCACTTTCTCCCAGTCCGTCAGCAACCTCTTGCCTGCGTTTCCTCCCTTTCCACAATGACTTCATGGTCAACCTCCCAAGCACTTCTCAATTCATTCTCCTTCCATCATTTCTACCTGGCAACATCTCAACTCTCTGCCTCTGCCAGACCTGCCCTGTAGGAAGTGGCTCAGCGCTAATGGATAAAATCGCACATGAGTGAGGTGGTGCCCCCATAAACCCACAGTCTGCAATTAATGATCAGCTCCAAGCATCACTTGAAAAGCATTTATTCATGAGTTCCATTTATTAAGTGCCGGATGTGTGCTAGGTACTGGTCTAAGTACTTGGAATACATTGTTAATCAAAACAGGAAAAGCTCCCTGCCTGTGGCGCTTACATAATTCCTTTAAAAAAAAATCCTTTCTACTAAAAAATCAATTCAAGCCTTCTTCACTTTTCTCAACTTCTCTTTTCCTCACACCCCCCTACCCCCCAGCTGATGTGCCAGACCTCCACTTTTCAGAGGAATCAGAAACCATTTCCTGCCACAATGAAAGTTGTCTCTCTGGGAGGCCTTCCTTGACCCTCCCAAGCTGGGCTGGGTGCCCTTATCCTCCCTCTCCTCCCCCACCGGTACTTTCCACACTAGATTGTAGCTTATGTCTTAATTATCTGAGGGATGGAACTTTGTCTACCCAGTTCCCTGCGTTAACTCCAGCATCTGGTGTTTAGTATCAGGTTAGAGCTCAGTAACTTCTGGGCGAATGAATGAGAAATGGGCGGGATTTTTGTTGCGGGGAAGAGCCTGCAGCGGGACTCTTCCTCCGGCTTCCTGGTGGCTAACTCAGGAGGCACCACCTCTGGACGCCCGAATCAGCCTCCTTGGCTTCCTTGGTACCGGAAGTGGGCAGTTAAGGTCAGCCGAGATTTTGATGGGACTTTTCAGATGCCTAGGGCCAGTCCCGCTGTGGGACTCCCCCACCTCGGTTGGCGGGGGCTGTGGGTGGGGCGGCTGCGCCCAGGATCCGCGGCAGAGCTTCTGAGCGTCGATGCCTGGCCTCAGCCCCTTTTACTGCCCAACTCGCTTTCCCTCCGCCTCCCAGTCCCTCTCGTTCTCCCTTCTTTCTTCCCTTACTCCTCCCGCCTCTTCCCTCCCCTCCCTTTCCTTCTCCATAAGGACGCTGAGTTAAGGGCCTGGCCAGCGGCCCACCTCCACTTGCCGCTTGCACACGGTCTTGTCCCGAGCCAGTACCCTGAAAATGCCACGACTGGTCAGAGGACAGTGAGACCTCCCAGAACCGCCCTCTGGGAGGGGTCAGTTTCTCAGACTGCCTGCCGAGCCAGCTCCCACAGAAGGGATGATGCCCACAGTCCCGGGGGGAGTTGTTTCAAAGCAGATGAAGGAGCTGAGAGGCTGGGGATTGGTGTGTGTGTGTGTGTGTGTGTGTGTGTGTGTGTGTGTGTGTGTGTGTGTGTGTGTGCGCGCGCGCGCGCGCGCGCGCAGTGGGAATGGTGGGTGGAAAACCAGCCTAGCCCCCTCAGGGCAGTGTCAGTGGGCAGAGGTGAGGCTGAGTCCTGATGGGCAGAAGCAGGCTCGTGTTTGAGTGGAGGTCCACTGTGGTGAGGCATTCTAGCAGACAGGACAGGCCTCCGCCTTCTAGAAGGGAGGGAAATTCAAATGCCTTCACACTCAGGTATTGGTATTTTACTGCATGTATTGACAGGCTACTATGTGTCAGGTCCTGTGTTTGACAGAAAGAAACACTAGCCATGTCCCACTAGAGACTGGCGAAATATTGCTGTTTTAAATAGTTTTTCCCATTATGAAAGTATATATTGAATTTAGAAGATCTGAAAAAGTATAAGGAGGAATCCCATAAACTTCTAAAGTCAAAATAATTTCCATAGCATTTTGATGTATTTCTTTCCAGATGTTACTATTCAAATTTTTACATTGCTTAAATAAACATAGGTTTTTGTAAGGTAGGAAAGCAGTTAATATTTAGCATAAACCTTTTCTACACATTATAAACTCTTCCTAAATGTAATTTTTAATGACTGTGTTACTCTCCGAAGTAGGATCTCTGAAGTAGTGAGGTAGCTATTTATGTGGTTAGTTATTTCAGCACTGACTTCTATGAGCTTGTCTCATAAATCCCAGTTCTTGCTAAATATTTCTAAGCTCCATTTCCCACAGGCACCCCAGGCCTAACATCTTCATAACTTAGGACATTTTCTTCTTTTGACTCAATTTGCTCTTCCTGTTGTATCCCCCAAAGTAATTAGTATCATTGAGTCACCCAAGCAAGAAACACAGTAGCCATCTACACTGCTCGCTCTTCATCTTTCCCATAAGAAGTCAGTCACCAACTTTTGCTAATTTTCTCAGCTGTTTCTCAAATCTGTCTCTCTTCCCCATCCTTACTGTCACCCTGGTAGAGAGAGAGGAAGGGAGAAGAGAGAAATATCAATGCAAGAGCAAAACATCAACGATTGGCTACCTCCTAGATGCCCCGACCTGGGGATTGAGCCCACAACCCAGGCATGTACTCTTACCAGGGAACCCAACCTGCAACCTTTCAGTGCTGGGGACAGTGCCCAACCAACTGAGCCACACTGGCCAGGGCCCATTAGTATTTTTTAGACGTAGTTTACTTTTCTGAACATATTTTAAATAGCTGGTTCGAAGTTTTTGTCTAGTAAGTTCAATGTCTGGGCTTCCTTGGGGTCACTTTTAATTGATTGCTGTTTTTCTCCCCATGTATGTGTGTGTGCCATTTTTTAAAAAATTTTATTTCTTTACATATCTTGTACTTTTTGTTGAAAATTGGACATTTTTAATAATATAATGTGGCAACTCTAGAATTCAGATTTTCTAGAGTTTGTTGTTACTGTTGTTTGCATAGTGATTTTTCTGAAGTAATTCTGTAAAGTCTATATTGTTTATTGTATGTGGCCACTGCTTGGTTAGCTTAGTGGTCAGTTAATGACTGGACAGAGGTTTCATTAAATCATTGGAACCGATGAGTCTTCCAGTCTTTGCTGGGTGATGTATATAATTTTGTATGTTTTCATTCTTCTAGGGCTATTTTAGAGTCACTTGCTGAAATGCGACTATTACAGAGCACTGAAGACAAACCAGAGCAACTGCACAGTCTTCAGCAACTCTCACATCCCTAAACCTGGGGGGACCATTTACAACATAATGAAGCCAGCTCTTCTAGGGTCTTCCCTCTCTGCTCAGTGAGACCCTTGTAGCTACTGTCCTGTTTTGGGTGGTTGTTTCCCACTGGAGTCTCCCTTTGCTTTGTCAGGGGAATCTCTAACGCCCACTCCTCTGCCCCTTAGTTTAAATGAAGGCTAAAGATTTCCCATTGCTTTCCTAGCCCCAAACCCTGCTTCATTCCCAGCTCCTATCTCAGGCACATTCTTGCTACCATTCCTACTACCTTCTTCTCCATTCCTTTTCTGGAACCTCAACTGAAATTTAATACCTGTTAGAGAAGCAGATTGAAAATTTGTGGGTTTTTACTTTTTTTCAGTACAGCCTGGCCGTCCATGTCTATGTGTCAGTTTCCATTCTTCGCATAGAATTTCCTATAAGCAGTAATATTTGGAACAAGAAGAGTTCTACTTTTGAAAGAGTCCCATTTAACACTAGTGGGTCCTGGCCTGTAGGATCCAAGATACTCTGGCACTGATGCAGCCTCAGGGTAACTAACAGACACATCTTAGCTAAGTAAAATCATAGACTTTTAAAGCCTGTTGTGTTTACGTACCAAAGCAGCAAGGATCTAAGAAAGATTGGATTGTGACATCCAGGAAGTTTCTATGTGAAGGGCCCAGCAAACTTCCAGCTAGAGAATGACTTAGGGAAAGGTCTGAGGCAGAGCCCGAGAAAGGGCTCCAAATGTAAGCTATGAAGGAATTCAGAAAGTTGCCCAGTAAAGTTTTCGGGGGCTGATTCTTCAGAGGAGATAAAAAGTGACTTCGAGTCATGCAGGGAATGGGTCAGGAAATGACTTGTCAATGTTTTCAAAAAAAGAACCTAGACTTAAAGCAACTGAAAAATACCCTAAAGACTTACTTGGGCAAGAAGCTGGGGCAGATGCATCAAAGTGGGGCCTCTAGAAATGGGTGTTCACGGCTTTCTGCCAACTCTACATTGCTCCCTTCTGGGAAGTCCGTGGAAACTGGAAATGTAGTACCCTTCATTAACCAGGAACACTGCCTGAACACCTCTTGGAAGCTTTCCTTCCTTAATGCAGGCATTAGATTAACAAGCACCAGGAAGCCTAGATTATATGGTTTTGAGTGTGGCAGAGGTAGAGCTTACCTTTCAAGGTCTTTGCATACATAAAACTGTTAAGTTGATAGAGACCTAATCATAGCTCCTTCCCCAGTTTACTTTCTCTCTCAGCCACCCATGTTTCAGGGATGGTCTTCAAAAGAAACCCTTAGGCAGATCAGGAGACAAGCTGATTACAAAAAAAATTCAGTTCATACCCTGGATAGTTCTCATCCTTCCCCTTCAGCTTTGAACAAGAAAGGCCAGAGGCCCCTGAGATGTTAATCATGGCTCATGTAGCCCCTTAGTCCAAGGAGAAGAGCAGACACATTTCTAGCTCTTCATACCCATTAAAAGGGATAAATTGAGTGTATGAGGAACAAGAGAGACAGTCCAGAGTCACTCCAAATCAAACAATGGCAGGACATGACCCAAGCGATGAAAGTGGAGTTGTGTCCCAACAGACGCCAGCAGTGCCCCAGAGGCAGAGAACAGAGAGAAGAGTGTCTGAAGGGGATCACCACAGAGGTCAGCACCTTCTTGGAGTTTCCAGTTTAGGAAAAAGATGTTGGAGATTATTTAGGGATTCTTTCAAGGGCCAGAGAATTCAGGGAGATAAGTGAAGTCTAAGAAGACTCCAGCTCCTAAGCCACAATCAGAAGATGTTATGAGAGTCTGGGGGATGCCCAGAAACTAAATGGCTATCTGAGTGGACAAGGGGCTCCAGTGACCAAGGAATGCTCCCTATCTACCCCCCACCCCTCAAATTGCTGGTTGCCCAAAATTCAGGATGGCCAAGCCTTAAATATTATGGTCATACAAATAAGCTGATGATTGTCATAGTACTGTCATTACAAAGTCACACACACACACACACACACACACACACACACACACACCACCTACTATAAAAGGATTCAGGGGCTTGTCAAAGTGAGAAAACCCAATAAAGACCCCACTTCTTAGGACCTGGCTGAACTGGAATTTTCCCGCAGTTCCTTTACTGTCTTGACTTTTATACAGGTCTCTCTCTCTCTCTCTCTCTCTCTCTCTCTCTCTTTCTATCTCCCTCCTCCCTTCTCCTCTTTCTCCCTTCCTCCCTCCCTCCCTCCATGTATGTGTATGGTGACATAGGCATTTAAAAACCATAAATCCTCCATGTAACCTTTAAGGGTAAGGCTAAAATTGCAGGCAAAGCAAACTTCAGGTCTTTCTCATTGAAGTGCCCCTGGCCTCAGATAGCTTGGCTTCTAACGTCTCATAGTCCCATCTCAGAGGTTGCCCAGTAGGGACATGACAATTTCCTATATCCTTTGTATTCACATGGAGGCCAGAGGCAGGTGTCTGGCCCAACAGACCTGGATCCCAAAGCCTTAGGCCTCAGGGAAGAGCCAGGACAAGAGGTTAGCCCCAGTAAAAAGGCATAACCCTACTAGAAGATCCAAAATAGGAGAGCATTGAGTAGGAGATGCAGGATTGGGGCTCTCCCTGCCCAGGCCATGGGATTAGCAGACACCCTTGTGAGTAAGAGCCCTTGGTTTCTGCACTGGAAGGAGCACGCTCCTTCTGAAAGTACCTTGAATAAAAGGACGAAACTATTTTCACTGGCATTGTCCCAGGGAAAAAGGCAAGGGCAGAAAAGCCTATTCAGTGTCAACTTCTGTGTGGAGCCCAGGACCAGGTGAAGGCAGAGCTGTCTTCATGGCACTGGGGACCCTGAAGCCCAGTGGGGCATGGTCATCATGGGCTGGATCCTGGGGAAGAATCAGGACTTAGGTGCAGAGGAAAATCAGCACCAGGACAAAGTCTAGGCCCAGGCAGAGCCCACAATAGGCATTCCTTCGACTACAGGGCTCCTCTCTACCAAGATCCAAGGAAAGTGACAAGTGCACCCTGCAGTCAGCACAGCACGCAGGCCCTGAGGACCAGAGCTGTCTCAGCAGGACAGGTGGCTCAGAGACCAGGACACACATCGCTGGAAAATTATGGGATTTGAGGATCAGCTACGATGTCCATGCCTCCCAGGGAGCCTGTGTTCCCAGCCAGACCCCACCAGCATGGACCAAAGATCCCAGGTACCTCCAGCTCTCCTCCCCACTGCCTCAGGCTCTAGTCATCCAGAAAGTCCTCTTCTGTCTCCTCCTAAGAGGGAAATTTCTCTCAAAGGAAAATTTAGTTCATGTAGAGAAAATCTTTTCATTCTTGTGATAGCACATCCTTCAAAGAGGATAGTCTCTGTTTCTCATAAAAAAGGATATTTATTCTTTCCAAATAGATTTGTTTCTTCTTATAGTGAGTGGTATCTTCTGTCTTTGTTGTGTGGAGTATGTTTTAGAAATCCCGGGAGTCTGGGCTTAGAGGAAGGAAGGAATCGGCTTCACCTTATACTGAAGTCCTGTTTGGCTTCTCAAAGGGGATCAGGGCCCCGGAGGAAGGTTGATAGTGGCACTGCACACCCACCTCCAGCCCAGGTTCATTGCTTCTGGTCAGATGCGTCTGGGCTTGGAAGGAAGGAATCGGCTTCACCTTATACTGAAGTCCTGTTTGGCTTCTCAAAGGGGATCAGGGCCCCGGAGGAAGGTTGTTGATGGCACTGCACACCCACCTCCAGCCCAGGTTCATTGCTTCTGGTCAGATGATTACTGGATGAGGGGATGATGGCTGTTTGCAGCTGGTCACACCCCCTTCAGGGTGGGGGTCCCCACTGGGGTGCCTGGCCAGCCTGGATGAGGGGATGATGGCTGTTTGCAGCTGGTCACACCCCCTTCAGGGTGGGGGTCCCCACTGGGGTGCCTGGCCAGCCTGGATGAGGGGATGATGGCTGTTTGCAGCTGGTCACACCCCCTTCAGGGTGGGGGTCCCCACTGGGGTGCCTGGCCAGCCTGGATGAGGGGATGATGGCTGTTTGCAGCTGGTCACACCCCCTTCAGGGTGGGGGTCCCCACTGGGGTGCCTGGCCAGCCTGGATGAGGGGATGATGGCTGTTTGCAGCTGGTCACACCCCCTTCAGGGTGGGGGTCCCCACTGGGGTGCCTGGCCAGCCTGGATGAGGGGATGATGGCTGTTTGCAGCTGGTCACACCCCCTTCAGGGTGGGGGTCCCCACTGGGGTGCCTGGCCAGCCTGGATGAGGGGATGATGGCTGTTTGCAGCTGGTCACACCCCCTTCAGGGTGGGGGTCCCCACTGGGGTGCCTGGCCAGCCTGGATGAGGGGATGATGGCTGTTTGCAGCTGGTCACACCCCCTTCAGGGTGGGGGTCCCCACTGGGGTGCCTGGCCAGCCTGGATGAGGGGATGATGGCTGTTTGCAGCTGGTCACACCCCCTTCAGGGTGGGGGTCCCCACTGGGGTGCCTGGCCAGCCTGGATGAGGGGATGATGGCTGTTTGCAGCTGGTCACACCCCCTTCAGGGTGGGGGTCCCCACTGGGGTGCCTGGCCAGCCTGGATGAGGGGATGATGGCTGTTTGCAGCTGGTCACACCCCCTTCAGGGTGGGGGTCCCCACTGGGGTGCCTGGCCAGCCTGGATGAGGGGATGATGGCTGTTTGCAGCTGGTCACACCCCCTTCAGGGTGGGGGTCCCCACTGGGGTGCCTGGCCAGCCTGGATGAGGGGATGATGGCTGTTTGCAGCTGGTCACACCCCCTTCAGGGTGGGGGTCCCCACTGGGGTGCCTGGCCAGCCTGGATGAGGGGATGATTGCTGTTTGCCGCTGGTCACACCCCCTTCAGGGTGGGGGTCCCCACTGGGGTGCCTGGCCAGTCTGGGTGAGGGGCTGAGGGCTGCTTTCAGGCTGGCGGTTGTTGACTGAAGCTCCCAACCGCTCCTTTTTTTTCTCTTTTTTTTTTATTTTATTCTGGGCCAGCTTTAGCTCTGGCTCTAGCTCTGAGGCTTCGTATCTGGTTTGTTTGCCGTTCTATAATCGAAACAATGTATAACTTCAGCTCTGAGATCCCGGCAGGCTGAAAGCTGGTTTCTGGGGTTTTGTTTAGCTTCTTATTTGCAACATAGTACAAAGTTGCTTAGAGTTGCAACTCAGAGGCCGGCAAGTCAGGCGGGAACGTTGGAGTTCGCAGTCACTGGAGCAAGCAAGCCTCATGTTCGCTTCCAGCTGCTTGGCTGCCGGCCGCCATCTTGGCTGACAGTTAATTTGCATAAGGATATGCTGATTAGCCAATGGGAAAGGTAGCAGTCGTACGCTAATTACCATGTTTCTCTTTTATTAGTGTAGATATCCTTCCCTGAGGATGTTTTTATTGATTTGAGAGAGAAAGAAAGACAGAGAGAGAGAGAGAGAGAGAGAGAGAGAGAGAAACATCAAGAGGATCAGTTGCCTCTCATAAGCGCTTCAATTGGAGATCGAGCCTCTCTTATGTGATCAACTGGGGATGAAACCTCAACCTAGGTATGTGCTCCAACCAGGAATCGAACCCACAACCTTTTTGGTGTACAGGATGATGCTCCAAACAACTGAGCCACCTGGCTGGGGCTCAGATGCCATATTTTTAAAATATTTTATTTTTTTCATAATACTGTCATTACAAAAAATACAAAAAAAAAACTACTATAAAAACATTCAGGGGCTTGTCAATGTGAGAAAACCTAAAGACCCCACCCCAGGACCTTGCTGAAGCAGTCTTACCCTAGATCCTGCACTACTGGATCTTTCACAACTCTGGGAATGGGGTGGAGTCACATAGGCATCAAAGGGCTGGAAATTTCCCACACAGCCTCCATGAAGGGTAGGAAATAAGTAGTTACACATATCACAAAAATGGGATTTGGAAGTTTTGGGGTGGCGAGGCCCTGAGTTCAGAGGTGTGGGGAGAAACCTGTGACCCTGAATCTCGTGCTGGGGAATAGCTGCCACCTGACCCCAAAGCCCTTTCCCTTCCTGATGAAGGCTGGGAGATGGATCCTGCCCCCCACCTCTTAGCTTTAATACAGCAGGCCCCCTTCCCCTCCCTCCATGCTTGCACACTCCTGAGAGCAACAGGGAGGACAGAACTTTCAGCTCTGTGGGGTCTGGGCAGGGGAGCTGTCCGGGAGGCTGCTGAGGGCCCCGTTCACCTCCCTGCCCCAGATGAAAAGTGTCTCGTGCTCAATGGCCCGGTTATGGACCTTCCCTTTCTATCTCAACCTGGGAGAGGCACAGACAGCTCTAGGTGTGTGTGAATATGTGTGTGATAACCTCGGACACTGTGGACAGGGGGTGGGGCTGGGGTGGGAAAGCAGTGTCCTTTCCATCCTCTTCCTCCTCCATAGGCGGAAGCCAGAGGGAAGGGAGAGGCGAGGTGTCAGCAAAGCTGAGCGGGGAAGGAGGGTATGCTATTTACAGGCGTGGACAAGGAATCTCTATATCTTCAAGTAGCACTCAGGTCACTCTCCAGCCACTGGAGTGGGAACTGGATTCAAAGCAAGTGACATGAAAATTGACCCCTGGTCTGGGCTAGTTCTCCCCACCTCCCTCCCACTCCCCCAAGGCAGCCCAGCTCTGAAAGGGGTCAGGGACAGGAACATTTTCCTGAAAAAAACAGTGGCTTTTTTTTTGCATTTAAAAAAGTTGCCAGTGTCCAGTGGACATCAAGTTGGGTGCACGTTGGGTGGGGCGAGTGTGGGGGTATTGCTGTGGTAGACTCTGGGCTGGCTGGGGCAGAGCCTAGGAACAGGGCAGGTGCTGCTTAAGGATCTGTCGTGTCTGTGGTGTTAATCTGTCTGGGAAGCGAACTTTGAACTCAACAATGAGGTCTCCCCGTTGGGTGGGCACCTTGGGGAAGGGAAGGCCCTCCCCACGGAGTCTCTTCACGGTGCCTGGCTTGATGACATCATTGCAGGGCAAAGCGATCACTCGGCCATCAATGGTGGGAATGTTCACGGTACAGCCACACAGTGCCTGGGGAAAATGAGGCAAATAGTGAGGAAAAGGTGGGGTAGAGTGACTGGGAAGAGAGAAAAAGATTAAAATGGGGAAAGAACGTCACTGTTATCCCCCCTCATCACACACACAACCTGACCCAGGCCTCACCTCCTTGAGGCTGATCAGGGCACTGTAGAGCACGTTGGTACCATCTCGGCGGAAGTGTGCATGGGGCTTGTCTTTGAGCACAAAGACTATGTCAGCAGGGATGTTGTCAGGTGTGGCATCACCCTCTTTGGGGAAGGTGATCTTGGTGCCTTCCTTCCAGCCACGCTTGATAACAATGTGCAGGATCTTGTCCTCGGTGCGCACAGTTCTCCCATCAGGGTTGAGGCGCCGCCTCGTGATCTTCATACGCTTGGTGGAGCCATGGTAGATCTCCTCCAGGGACACCCTCAGCTCATGCACCACAGGTGGGTCCTGCACCTTGCGCCGAGGGTACAGTGGTTCGGGGGCTCGCCTTGGACCCCTACTCAGCCCATTGAAGCCAAAGCGGCCGAAGGCACCAAATGGGTCCTCATCATCATCCACATCCATGTCATCTGGATCAAAACCACTGAACGGTCGAGTGGAACGAGTGCTGGCAAAGAAGATATCGAAGGGGTTGGAGCCACCAAAGAAGGAGGCAAAGGTGGCATGGGGGTCCCCATGAAAGGTGTAGTGAAAAGAGCCACTGGAGCCACCTGACGAACCACCGCCAGTCTTCAGGCCTGGAGAGAGGAGAAGTTAGGGACAGTGTGGCTGGTCTGGGCCCCACCCCAATCTCCTCTCCCTGCTCTCTAGCTCCCAACTCATGGACCTAGAGAAAGACGAAATCTTTAATTCCCAGAGAGAGGGCTGGCTAATACAGTAAGAAAGTTCTCTGGCAAGATTAATTTTTACTCTTAATTATATTTTTAATAAAACACATCTGAGGTTCAAAGAGGCTGAGTTTCCCAATGGGTGGAAAAGCTAAGAGTAGAAGTCCTGGAGGATGTGACTTCCAGTCCTGTAATCTCTCCCATGTAACCATGACCCAAAGATGTCTCAGAGCTTTGTGGCTGGCCTGGGGTCACATTACAAGTCATATCTGGCTCTGAAATTTTTGCTTATCTCCAAAGACCCACAGAGCATGAGGCAAGTGGGCAAGATTTGATGACACAGGGGCTAGTAAGTGACTTGTCTTAAATCAAGTGGGGATATGGTCCAGGAGGAGGCCCACTCTCACTCTGCTTCTAGCAATTTCTTCTTTCCCTGCCAAATGGGAAATAAGGAGGGCTCCCCAAAGCAGGAAAGCTCATTAGCTTGGAGATGAGGAGCTACTTCTTTAGAAAAAATTTTCAAATGCTTTGTTCCCATAGTCAGGGCTCACAGTGTTGCACAACTGCAGGGGGTGCCATTCACACATTGGACAGACATAGACGACAATGGGAATGGAGTTCCCTGGAGTTATATAATACCAAGCCTTACCCCTCACACTTAATATCAGAGCAGCCAAAATGCATGAATGAGCTGGCACATTGTGGGTGGGGACCCCAGCTGCTCTTGCTGGAGTTAGGTCCTGTCTAAGGAGGCAGCCTTAATGGGGGGATGGCAGTGGTGAGGATGGGGATAGTAGGGCACAGAGGAAGGAGCGAGGTGGGTATTAACACTGAGAAGTGATCTATATCATGTAGACTTAGGGTGGAGCCCAAGCTACGGGAAGTGACTCTTTTTTTAAGGCCTTTTATCTAGAATTTCAATTGGCTATGGAAGCCAGAGCCTAAATTAGCCTCTTATTTCATTAGATTTGGATTTCATTAGAGAGGCCAGGTGGCAGGCAGTTCAGAGACTTGTGGCAGCGGCCTTTTCACCCCCCCCTTAAGACGCAGGGTCTGTTCTTTCCCTCTGTTGAGGTGTGATTATCAGGTGAGTTCAAGAAGCTTGGCAAAGCTCAGCAAACGAGGGAGGTTGGACTAATGACAACAGGAAAGGGTAATTTCTCTGTGGGGATTCCTGCTGTACCACTACCACCCCCTTTCCAAGCTGGGAACAACTTGTCCCCAGCCAGGGCTGAGTACAGAGTCTATGTGCACAACTGTTCTGTCTGGTTGATGGGGAGGAGGCAGGGTGGACAGAACTATAACCCACATTTCCAAGGCTGCTTTTCCCTCCCCAGGCTCTGGCTGTCTCCTTAATGCTGTGCTGCATCTTTCGGGGTTGCAGATCTGCTTTAGAACCCAGTGTCTGGGCCTAGGGGCTGAGCTATGCCCTTCACTTAGGCTTGGTCATGCAGGAGGGTTAAGTTTCCAGCTTTCTCCCAGCTCTCACCTTCCTAAACAAAGGTGAGGCTAGTGGAGGAATGAGTGCAATTCCCAGAAAGGTCACATGGTGGCATGGTGTCTGCAACTCGACCCTCTTCCCCCACCTTTACTCCCATTCCTCCATCCCAGAGGAAAAACAAATTCTTAGCTGAGAAAGTACCCCCTCCACCACCCCCACAAGACGCCTGGTGAATCTGGGAGTTGGTAGGTGAGCAGGGAAAAATGGAAGGAACTAGTGGCATGGAGACATACGAGAGGGGGCTGTGAGGACTGGGGTGCCAGAAGATAATGGCATGGGACACAAAGCAAGGAGGAGGAGAGGAAAAGAACATTCTTTTGAGTGCCTACTCTGTACCAGGCACAGTGCATATGGATAGCCTATCCAATTGGAGGCTACAGTGGGGAGAGTAAGGAGGGGAATGTGAAAGAAAGGTGCATGCACTTAGGGAGGAAGGGCAGTTTCTCCCGGGAAGGAGAGTCCTCAGCTGTGACTATGTCTCTTAATATAGCCTGACAGGTGCCTGTGGCTGGCGGGTGGCAGGCGGCCCTGAGGGGCAGGCCCAGAATTAGCTGCTACATCATGCCCGTGGGATGTGCTGGGAGGGGCCGCCCTCTCAGAGGCTTTATTTGGGCCTTTCCTGCCACCCTGTGCGTGGCCACCAGCTACCCCAGGGAGGGGGCAATATGCCAGCAGCAGTTTCCCTTCCACCCTTGGATCTCTGCCACTTCCTCAGGGAGGCGAAGCCATACCTCTGTTCTGATGGCCTGAAGTGGGCAGAGAAGGGAACAACCATGTCTCTAGCTCAGCGCTCCAGTGGTTAGTTCCCAGGCTGCTTAAGGGTCAAACTTTTATGCTGATGAATGTAAATGCTCTGTCCTCAGAGAGGCACACACTCCCTTTCCCTAACCTTCCTCATCAGCCAATGAAGCAGCAGGGACTTCAGGCTGGACTAATAAGGGCTGGGAAGGGGGAGTGGAAGGGGGAGTGGGAGGGGGAAGGCCTCTGGTTCTAGCTTCAGACCTCGCTCAGGCCTGAACTTAAGCAGGGAGAGGGGCAGAGAGAGGTGGGGGGAACTATGGTAATCTGAGGCTGGGAAGTGGGTGGTCTCTTCTTTCCTCTGGGTGTCAATGTTAGGAACACTTGCCTCCCTCACCCCCTACTCAGTCTCCAGTTCCCGGTTATGAGAACTGGGTCACCTAGGACCCCAGACAAGGACAGGGGTCCAATAGCAGGCTGGAGCGCTGCTCTCTTACCTTCCTCCCCATACTGGTCATACAGGCCTCGTTTCTTAGGGTCACTCAGCACATCATAGGCCTCTGCAATTTCCTTAAACTTCTCCTCAGCATTGGGTTCTTTGTTCTTGTCTGGGTGGTACTTCAAGGCCATCTTCCGATATGCTTTCTTGATCTCATCCTCATTGGCTCCCGATGGGATCCCAAGAATCTTGTAATAGTCCTTTCCCATCACAGCCACTGGACCGGCACTGGTCTCCTTGTTTCTGAAAGAAATCCAGGGCCAATCCTTGGTGCCTCTATTCCCTTCTGCCCCAGTCTTGCTCCTGATGATCCTGCAATCCCTAAAAGTCACAGTGTGACTTTTCTGTGGGCCTCTGTCTCCCCATCAGTAAAATGAAAGGTTTGGACTAGATGATCTCTTCCAGCTTGGACATTCTAGGATTCTGTGATTCTTTCCTCAGTTCCTAGGTTTTCCCAGCAGCAGGCGGGGGGCTAAGGCCCACATCCTTGGGCCGGACTGAGGACCCCCGAAAGGACCTGCTGAGTGAGGTGGCACCATGGACTGACAAAGCCACGCACAGAAGCTGGAGAAGATCAATGTACGGGGTGAGGTCACCTGAGTATCGTGGTCTCCTACGCCATGCCTCAGGCATGGTGCCCAGGCTAAGGGCAGCTGGGGCAGTGGCCTAGGACTGGGGACAGGCCTAGATCTTCAGCCAGCTGTCCTGGCCAACCGGGCTGAGTCAGGGTGTGGGTGCCTGGAGTTCTCTCTGCATTGGAGACCCCAGGCACCCCTGCTCTCGATCCCCAGACTATGCTAAGCCTCACATGTGACTCAGATCAGAGGATGACTCACAGCCTTTGGAAACTGCCATTTCTAACTCCCTCATTAGTAGGGGGATGATCACTGTCCTTCCCCCAATCAGGGCAACTGTTCCCTTTACTCATCTCCCAGTGTCTACACACAAAATGTGTGTGAAGATACATCTGTGCCACCTAAGCACTAATGTTAGTGAACAAAAGCATCCTGGTGATAGGGCCTTTTTAAACCTTAGTTGTTAGGAGGCAATTGGGCACTAACCACCATTTCCTTAATACCTACCCTCTCTCTCACCTGCCCAGTGGTTTAGGATCTGGCCCACACTCCTCTGATAGTCCCTTCTAAGCTGGATGCAGGGGCATTTGTTATATGAGGGAGAAACATGAGGCTCCAATTCTTCCATGCCAATCTCCCTCCACCAATGTCCCTGTGGTGAATATGCAGGGAAGGGGACATTCCTGTATCTAAAGCTTTTTGGGAGAATGGCCAGAAGCCATTCTCCAGCCCTTCTGAGATTTGACCAACCCCTACCAAAGCCCAGAGAACCGGAGTCTTTCTAGCAATGTCCTGGGCTGGCAGCCACAGCTAAGGCCTGCTTTTCTGCCTCTGACTACTTCAGCGAGGGGTACAGGGTTTCCTGGCAGGAGTGAGGGCTGTAATGGGTAAGAGGAGGCCTCAAGACTCCAGGTAGGTAGTAGGGACCATGGCCCTAGCTCCTGCCCCCACAGGGCCTGTTGCAGGTGGCTGGGTTGACTCATGGTTCTGGGAGTCACCTCACTCTGACAAAGAGAAGGCTCCCAAAAGGTGGGTACTCCCCTCCTCCCCCGTATCAGTATGTCACGGCTGGTGGGGGAGGCGGGGGTTGGAGGAGGCAGAGAAGAAAGAGCAGCTGGGGGAGGGCAGCCATTTTCGGAAGCAGCAGTAAAAGCCGTTTGAGCGGGAGCTGGGGGTGGTCTGCCATCTCTGCCTTGGCCCACACCTTCTTTCCCCAGGGACTGGGAAGGAATCCTAGCACACCAACAGGGTGCCCCCAGGGAACTATAGCAGCTTCCAGGCAGAGGGCAAATGAAAGACTTGCCACTTCTCCCACCATCCTCTTGATGTCCCTGCATTACCTCTTCATCTGGCCAGCTTCCTCCCTGGCACCCACCTGCTAGCTGTTCTAGATCTATAATTCTCTTGCCTCCACAGACACAGGGTGATCTCTTTCAAGAATTGCCCTTTTCTCCCTCCCTCCCCCTACCCAAAAGCCACGCGTTGGAATGACAAAGGAGCCCCATGGCATGGCACTGCCTTTGATGGAGAAGAAGAAAGGATGTTAATGCTGAGGCGGGAATGAAAAACGGGAATGAAAAACGAGGAGAAATGGCAAGGGGGACTGGTATAGGGAGGGGAGATGGCTGATACAGAAAATGAAGTACTGATGGAGGGGGATAAAGGGTGACCAGTGGCAGTGGCTGCGGTAGAAAATGGGTTACCAGGGGGTTGAAAGAGAGATGCAGAGAATTAAAATACTGGAGATGTTTGTGGAAAATAAATGGATGCCTGGAGGGTTTGAGATGAATGATAAGGTGTACACTTCATTCAAATGTAGGGGTGCGGTAGAAGGCACTTACATGTAATGGGAAGGAGACGAGGATGAAATGGAGGAAGCGAGGAGGCAATGGAGGGGGATGTGATGTGGAGGATTTGACTTGGTATGGGCATGAGTGCCATTCTCCGGAGGGACTTACCGAAACTTTACAAACCCATTCAGCGTCCACGCTCGAAGTTTTAAGGGCTCCAGCTGAATTTTAAACATCAAGCTGGCTAAGAAGTCTTCTCCCCAGAAGTGTGGGAAGCTCCGGAAAGCTCCTCGGGCCTGCAGTGGGGATGCTGCTGGGGATGGGCAGGAGAGCACTGTGCGCTTAAACATGCCCAGCCCAGCCCCTCACCTCTGCTCGCTCCACTGGAGCCTGCTTGGAAAGCTGCAGCTCTGGCAGTCACCTCCTCGGGTCCTCAGAGGCACTTACCCAGCAAGGCCTGTCCCGTGCAACAGGAGCTGGAGCTGGACCTGATGCCCAGGCGTGGAGAGTGAAGGGATGGGGTCCAGTGGCCACCAGCTCTTAAGGGCGGCAATGTCTGGCTGCTTGTGAATGGCTGTGTGGCCGTGTGGCAGGAAGGCTGGCAGTGCGAGCGTGCGTGTGAGTGGCAGCGTGTGTACCTGTGACAGGTGTGATTGTCTGTGAGGGCCCGAGAAGCACTAAGTTCCTCTGCCTCTCTGTCGGGGAGGACCCGACCCCAATCCCCCAGAACCTACTCAATGAAGTCACTGACAGGGAGTCTCCTCCCTCGCAGATGGGCGGGGGGGGGCGGGGCAGAGCCGACCCCGCCGGGACAAAAGGCGCGGCGAGCAGAGAGGGGGAGAGAGGAGGGGGCTCGGGCGGGGGAGGGTGGTCGGTGATGTCACCGGTGCTGGGTGGCTGGGCCGGCTCAGAAACGCCTCCTCCCCGGCGGAACCCAATCCGACCTGGCCCGACCCTCCCCCGGCTCAGACGCTGGCCGTCCCCTGGAAGAGGGTCGCGGACAAGGAGCACCTGGCAGAGCCTGAGTCCCCGCCGCCCTACCGCAGAAGAGCCGATGGGCCCTCAGTGTCCCAACCCCCGGACACCAGGACCCCTGACTTCGCGACGCCCACACGCCCACGATCCCCGAGTCCTAGATCGGCGCCCTCACCGGTGAGGAGCTGCGGGCGCCTCCGCGGTC